GACTTGCCCAGGGTGGGCAAAATTTGAGTGCTGCTTGTCCAAAGGGCAGCTGGAATCCACTGTAGGAAAAGAGATGGCAGTTGTGCATTTTACCACAATGCCTTGCGAACCTAACACAGCCTAAAGGGCACAAGGAAAGCCAAATTTTTACAATATTTGTCTCTGTGTTAAGGACATTAAGTAGCCTAGGTTTGAAGATTTTATAACTTTTCTGCATGTTTTTATAAACGTTAAGAATTTCATGTGCTAAGAACTATGGGTAAATGTACCAGTCACCATCTTTTTTCTTATGGAGGATTCAAGTCGGTTTTTCTTTTTTCGAGACCTGCCTTAGTCACAAGTTGCCTACATTCAGCAACATCATTGAAGGGGAGGTGCAGGAAACACTAAGTGCTACTGTGAGTTTGTTGTTGTCTAGTGACTCCTGGCCCTCTCAAAGTGCTACCAATTATTTGGGCAAAGGTTTTTGCTTTAGACTCCAGAGAGGAAACTAAAGGCCACTGAGAATTTGTGATGTTATTTGCCACTAAGCACTGGGGTAAATTTTTAGTGCTGATGTCTGATGTGCAAGTAATATTGGTGAGATTACTGTTAAGAGACTCAGTCTCCAGTGAACGGTATACATGCGGGTGATAATAAAGTTGCTGACAATCAAAACAATTAGCTCTCAAGGAAAATCGCTACTTACAATAAAGGTCTGCATTGGGTTGTACTTACTACCTGAGCTCACCCTGGTTTCTGTAGCATTACACAACAAGGAATATTTCTACTCCACCCCCTCCCCCCTAGATGGGAAGCTAGTTCATCACAGGGTTACTGGGTGGAGAGGGGCACCATGAGAGTAAAAAAAAATTCTGGCCCAATCTGACCACCCAGACCACCTGCTCCAGACTCTGGCAGCATGCTAACTATTCAGCCACCATATGTCCTGCACAGACCACACATCACTCTTTAAAAACACTAATTATGATAAGCACCTGTGCACCACTCGGGGGTAGATCCTGTGATCCGTTCAAAACAATATTACGGCCAGATAGACTTGACAAGTCAAACTGTGAAGAAAAATGCAAATGCATGACTTCTCTTGAACCTCAGTGTTAACATAGATAGGAATTACATATAACTGTTAACTATTAGGCTTGATTTCCCAAAACAGCAACTGGTATTCAAGCCTACTGTACTGTGAGAGTTTCACTTATGAGTTAGACACCAAATATTTGTCAAATAGTTTTGCCCTATACATGTAATTCATCACAATAAAAGATACTGTTATATCCAGCAATTGCAAAGCCTTGAAGGATTGGCATTCAAAAGTGCTTACACTAATTGCGCTGTTTTTCCTTGATCCATGTAGTTATATATGCTTATTGACTCTACAGCAGTTAACTTAACGTGGCAGTAACCAACCCGAAAGCCTTAGCTATTTTGGTCACCGGGCACATTTGACTTTCTATTTGTTGTTATTAATATTATGCAATACTCATAGATTGATTGTTAACAATGTGCAGATCCAGAAAATATCCATACTTCCCCCACAGAAGGGATTGGAATTTCCTGGGGGGTGGGGGGTTCTGGAAGGCCAAAAACTTAAAGAAATGTATGAAGCTTAACTGGAATTTCCAGAGGGGTGGGGAGGTGTTAGAAAAAAAATCCCTTCCGTGGGGGGAGGTATGGGTATTTTCTGGAACTACACAATATGAAAATGGTGGAAGACAGTAAAAAATCTGAAAATCTGAATCTTACTGATTACTCCTGAAAATTAAAAGGTTTCATTTAGCTTACATCATAAGGTACTTTGATCA